ATAATACATATTTTCTTAAAGACGAGGAGAGAAAACCCAAAAAATATTGCAAAATAAATACTTTTTTCTACATTCATGCAAAAAACAGAACTTTATTGAACTATATTTAGTGGAAAAAGAAGTTCTTTATTGCACTTAGTGCAATAAAGTTTTTATTGCACTCATCTGTCATTCTACTTCAACGTGATGTCATCATGACAAACATTTTCTATAATGCAACTGTGGTTATAGAAACGTCAGTCAAAAATTAATTCTGACAATTAACAGAATTGTACCTAGTGCCGCACCTCAATAAATCATTTTTTGCTTTTTGCATGAACGTAGGAAAAAATGTTGTATGCTACTCGTGCAAAAATTGTTTATTGCATTCGACGTGAAATTGTCCGACGAGGCCGTCACTTGTTGCATAAATAACTATTAATTCCTCGAAGAACATACAGACAGTATTCATTTCATATTCTTCAGTTTATTTTCCAGGCTGAGCAAGTGGATTTTCTTGAAGAATGAGATTTTATGGATGTAGTATAGAAGACTTCTGCGCTAGTTTCAGTTTAATAGTCTGGTGCGTTTCGGAGAAAACAATTTTTTTTTCAAAAAATCGAGTGAAAATGATAGTTTTACATTTTCCGCAGGCTGAGCAAGTGGATTTTCTTATGCAGAATGAGATTTTATGGATGTAGTAGAAGACTTCTGTGCTTGTTTCAGTTTCACAGTCTGGTGCGTTTCGGAGAAAATTATTTTTTTTTCTGAAAATCGAGTGAAAATGATAGTTTTCCATTTTCCACAGGCTGAGCAAGTGGATTTTCTTGCAGAATGAGATTTTATGGATGTAGTAGAAGACTTCTGCGCTAGTTTCAGTTTGACAGTCTGGTGCGTTGCGGAGAAAATGATTTTTTTTCTAAAAATCGAGTGAGAATGATAGTTTTCCATTTTGCGCAGGCTGAGCAAGTGAATTTTCTCGCAGAATGAGATTCTATGGATGTAGTAGAAGACTTCTGCGCTAGTTTCAGTTTGACAGTCCAGTGCGTTTCGGAGAAAATGATTTTTTTTCTAAAAATCGAGTGAAAATGATGGTTTCCGATTTTCCAAGATTCAATGAATGTAGTAGAATACTTAGTACCATCTCCGAAAATTCAAAATGAACTCGAGTTTTTCTTCATTTCATTATGAATTTCATAAATTTTGAATGTTGTCATATCATTAACAGTATAATGATCTCTGAAATTTTTAATGTGGTTTGATCGAAATATCAAATCTGATTATATGGAATGAAGTTGATCGAGAAAGATTTTTTTTCGGGCTGAGGAGGTGAATCTTTCTGGAGAATAACATTTTAACCAGTGTGAAGTCAACAGAATACGAGGTATTGATGTTTTTTTCATCTGATATCATGTGCATGTGTGAGTCCAAATTCTATTCATCAGATCATGAAGCTTCCATGTAATTGATTCATTTTAGTAAAATAACATTTTTATTGAATAAAATGACCGCCCGCCACTGGTATTGTCTGTCGGGTAGGTTCGGAAATTTTAGCAGCCAGGTTCACACCGGTAGGTCTGAGTTGGACAAGAATATCAGGATTACTTGGTGTTTTTAAAGCTACATTATATAGACACAAAATAGCAATGAATTTCTTAGAACCAGGGGAAAGAGGTTTCACTTGGAGTATTTAGAATGAAATAGTAAAATGCAGATGATGACCTTGAAATAACCCATATGAATGGGCACGATGGGTTACGCTCCGCTCATTGGTTGGAAGCAGGTTGAAGTATTGATTTTATGAAACTGACATACGTATTGAAGGCGCGCTTACAAGTAAGCGATCCGCGTTCAACGTATCAAATCCTCATTGGTGGATAGATTGACAGCCGTCATGTAAATGTATGTTTACCCAATCACAACACGATTCTACAAAATAAGGTGTACATTGTGAATTCACCTTAGAATAGTTTATTTACATGTATTATTGTATTGAAATTAATAATTTTTTCCGTGACGGGAAAAAAGTTTGGCATTTCATCTCTGTTGGCAGGTTTTAAAATGTCACTATTCATAAATTACTTTTTTCCCGTGGGAAAAAAGTGAGTACTCCTTTCCCGGATATATATCACATATATATACTCTGTTAATGGCTTTTGTTGTGCTATAGTTCCGAAATATAAGTCAATAATACCGTCTCCGAGAAAGAACTGCAAGTCTTTTTATCTTCCATTCGACTTCGCGGTTTCTTATATTACTAAACAACTACTGAATTCGCAATTTTTCAAAATCAAATCACAGAATTGAACTGACAGAAGTGACATCAGATATTTGATTACTTCAAAAGAATGATGAAGATGTCTATAAAACGCAGGTGTCCCTACTGTTAAAAACTTGAAATTTCACGTCGATAATTTTCAGATTTCGAAATAATGTAATATTGATTCGTCCTTCCTCCTGTCACAGAAAAAAATAGTGTATTATACACGGGAAAAATATTAGATTTTAGCTCACGGTTTTTTGTCTCCCTCCGCTACGCGTCGGGAGACAACACAACCTGGAGCTAAAATCTACTACTTTTTTCCCTTGTATAATAAATAACTATTATTTTGACTTACTAATGAATCAGAAACATAAGCAGGACATGAGGATATTTTGTTTTTGTGAACGATAAATCATCATTTACCTATGCGCAATGTGGAATTTTTTTTTTTGAATTTTAGGTTAGGAACAGATTTCAGGATATCTTGCAAATGAACATCTTCAATTCATCTTATTTTTCCATAAGCTGATGATTCATCATTCTGCCTAGTCTTACTGAAGGAAATGGAATGAACCATTTATAAGAAATTCCTTGAAATTATTTCCTTAAGTATTCAAGGTAGGTTTGCACATATGAAATAAAAATAACCACGATTTTGAATGAAGATTTTAATCAAATTATGAGAAATACTCAATTAAGAAACGATCAATATTTTGACTACTTCCATCACTCTCATCAGCTTCTTCAGGATATTGATTTTCTGGTCCCGGGCTTCCAATTTGGCAGATTTTATCTAATTTCATTTGTCACTATACCAGCCAATTCAATGAATTCATCCATTGATGGTTTTGACTTATGTAGGGATCATTCTGATACCTACTCAGGTATCACATTTTCTGATATTGTCCCAGGAAATCGGTAACATCATGAAATGTGAGAAAAGTATAACATAAAAATTGAACATATATCCATTGTGGTACTCACAATAAAAACTGTCCTGATCAATACATTTGATCTTTATTTGGTTTTGTTCTCCTTATGTCATTTCCATAGCCAGTTCTCATTTCAGATGTCCTTCAGAAAATCAGTAGAACCATGAAAAGTACAATCAGAAAGTGTAACATGAACATTGCACAGAACTACATAAATGCTGGTACTCACAAAAGGGTATTGAGCCCTTATTGAAGTCAACTCTGAGTCATATGATATATGCATTTCCCAGTCATATTATATATGCATTTCCAAATCATTCTTGCTTCTTGGGTAGGATAAGGGAACCTAAACAATCTCAATGGTGTATGTTGGTTATTATTTAAGTACTCACTCTTGCAGTCTTTGACTGCACATTTTATTCCTCCAGGTCTCCACATTGCCAAGTTTATCTACAAAAATATATCATTTCTACCTCAGCAACCCCAGACACTAGAAAAAATCAAATATACTCACACTTATTATACCACAATTTTTTGAGGTTATGTAAAATGATAAAAAGAATCGAAAAATAATGATAATTCCACTGAAACTTAACTGAAAAACACAATCTATAAAAATAATGATCGCTTTTGTGCAGATTAAATCCACTTTTACCACTGTTGAAAAATTTGCCAAATCTCTGAGACTCTGAGAAGAAATTAGTTGACAAACAGTAAACATACAGCTGACATCTGATCGTAGCTTTGACCTCAGTGTTGCCAGATCCTCTAACCTCATTCTGTGCTGACGTCCAGCCGCGTTCAGCCACCTATCGGTAAACCCTGGAACCCGAAAGTCTATTTCTGCACACACTGGTACAACCAAATATAAACTTTCGCGACGCGCAAATATAGACTTTCCTGACACGCAAATATATAAAGATTTCGTCATATATAAAATTTGTGCATTTAATATAGACTTTTTTCTATATAAATTCAGTAAAAATTTTATATATTACAAATAATAATTATGAACCAAACGGCGTGAGGCATACTAATATATATTGAAATTTCGTCGCACTCAAATATATAGAACATTTTTCACACGATATAAGAAATTTTTCATGTAATATTGATAATTTCGTATATTATATAGGATTTTTTCTATATATCGCGTTAAAATTTCTATATATCGAAAAAATAATTATGAACCAAACGGCGCCCCATAAATCAGCCCCTCATGACGACGAATATCATTGCCAAATTTCAAGGGAATCGGTGGGAGAATATCTGATATATTCATGAAAAACCGATTTTTTCTAAAAAGTTTAACACACTGTATCTTGAAAACTATGCATTTCCGGACCCAAGTATATATGAAATAAATTTCATGTTTTCACATGCAGAATCATCCCCTTGATTTTTTGCGCATAATTTCCGGACACCCTGTATATCTTTGTTACACAGGTGGGGCTTCTCAGACTCCAAATCTGTTTACTGCACTGTCACTATCTTGTTAACTAACTAAAAATTGAATTCGCACCAGGATATGACAGAATAAAGTGTTTTGGGAAGCTGTAGGCAACCAAAGAAATGTGCATGCATTCAAATTGATTTAAAATTTGTCTGGATAAGTGATACTCCACCTGGGAGACGCCGGGTTAACTTAACCTGACCTAGAAATCCACATTTTTGTCAATGATGTATAACAATGTAATTGATGAAATGATTCATATGAAAATCAACATTTTCATTCGTCACTACCTCTGAGGCAAATACTTGAAATTCAATGTATATTTATTTTCATAACATACATTGCTAAAGAAAAATATTTTTTTTTATCAAAGGGGGTTAGATATTCCACACGTTGATGTTGTTATAAACTTTGACATACCAACACATAGTAAAGACTACATTCATCGTGTAGGAAGAACAGCAAGAGCAGGAAGATCTGGTCAGGCTATCACTTTTGTGACACAGGTGAGTTAGTGATAAGAATAAATACAGATATGGTATATTATATGTAGTGATATTCAATCTTCATATTGCTTTTAGCTTCCAGATTCAGGTCCCTCTGAAAAAATATTGGGTAGTTACTTCCTTGTAGTTGTTGAAATTTCGAAAATACCCCGTGTTTCATTTATGACCCCAAAAGGTAATAATGTTCAGGTGTATTTGCATTCAAAAATAGTTATTTATGTACTATAGACGAAAAACTGAATATTTATAGGCTAGTCTGTGAATTGATAGCTGAGACAATAGACAGTTTTTCGTCTATAGTACATAAATAACTATTTTTGAATGCAAATACACCTGAACATTATTACCTTTTGAGGTCATAAATGAAACACAGGGTATTTGTTTTATTTTTGGACATAAATATTACTACCTTCTGAAAACGGACCCTCTTATGACGTAGAAACCTCATCTCGCCATAGTTGAAAGAAAATACCAAACGCCCGACGGAGACTGAGGCAACTGATATATGAATTCTTTCAACTGTGATCTTGCGCTAATTCACTCTGTCAGAAATCATGTATCATTCATCTCTGTCTGGAATAGTCTTGTTTCAGTATTAGGGTTTTGACGTCATATCATCGCCTCGTTTTCAGAGGTCCGAAAAATCGGGGATTTCAATAATTTTTTATAAAACGTAGGGAGCTCACAGCAAGAAACGGTTTGCGGTGGTGAGCTAGTTTGGGTGAGTTCTATCGAATTGTGAAATGAAATTTTTTTGTAATATAAGCCCATTCACGCACACATCGCGGCCATTTCCACTTTAATTTTCACTTTACTATCAATCACGATCAAACACGATCATGATTCTCTGTTATTTCTGTTCTCGTCATCTCATAGCATTTTCGTAAATGACGTTATATAGGGTGGGTCAGCATTTTTACATATTGACTGGTGATGATATTTTTTGAAGTACTTATGACACGATCATGATTCTCTGTTATTTCTGTTCTCGTCATCTCGTAGCATTTTCGTAAATGATGTTATATAGGGTGGGTCAGCATTTTTACATATTGACTGGTGATGATATTTTTTGAAGTACTTATGACACGATCATGATTCTCTGTTATTTCTGTTCTCGTCATCTCGTAGCATTTTCGTAAATGACGTTATATAGGGTGGGTCAGCATTTTTACATATTGACTGGTGATGATATTTTTTGAAGTACTTATGACACGATCATGATTCTCTGTTATTTCTGTTCTCGTCATCTCGTAGCATTTTCGTAAATGATGTTATATAGGGTGGGTCAGCATTTTTACATATTGACTGGTGATGATATTTTTTGAAGTACTTATGACACGATCATGATTCTCTGTTATTTCTGTTCTCGTCATCTCGTAGCATTTTCGTAAATGATGTTATATAGGGTGGGTCAGCATGTTTACATATTGACTGGTGATGTTATTTTTTGAAGTACTTATGACACGATCATGATTCTCTGTTATTTCTGTTCTCGTCATCTCGTAGCATTTTCGTAAATGACGTTATATAGGGTGGGTCAGCATTTTTACATATTGACTGGTGATGATATTTTTTGAAGTACTTATGACACGATCATGATTCTCTGTTATTTCTGTTCTCGTCATCTCGTAGCATTTTCGTAAATGACGTTATATAGGGTGGGTCAGCATTTTTACATATTGACTGGTGATGATATTTTTTGAAGTACTTATGACACGATCATGATTCTCTGTTATTTCTGTTCTCGTCATCTCGTAGCATTTTCGTAAATGATGTTATATAGGGTGGGTCAGCATTTTTACATATTGACTGGTGATGATATTTTTTGAAGTACTTATGACACGATCATGATTCTCTGTTATTTCTGTTCTCGTCATCTCGTAGCATTTTCGTAAATGATGTTATATAGGGTGGGTCAGCATTTTTACATATTGACTGGTGATGATATTTTTTGAAGTACTTATGACACGATCATGATTCTCTGTTATTTCTGTTCTCGTCATCTCGTAGCATTTTCGTAAATGATGTTATATAGGGTGGGTCAGCATGTTTACATATTGACTGGTGATGTTATTTTTTGAAGTACTTATGACACGATCATGATTCTCTGTTATTTCTGTTCTCGTCATCTCGTAGCATTTTCGTAAATGACGTTATATAGGGTGGGTCAGCATTTTTACATATTGACTGGTGATGATATTTTTTGAAGTACTTATGACACGATCATGATTCTCTGTTATTTCTGTTCTCGTCATCTCGTAGCATTTTCGTAAATGACGTTATATAGGGTGGGTCAGCATTTTTACATATTGACTGGTGATGATATTTTTTGAAGTACTTATGACACGATCATGATTCTCTGTTATTTCTGTTCTCGTCATCTCGTAGCATTTTCGTAAATGATGTTATATAGGGTGGGTCAGCATTTTTACATATTGACTGGTGATGATATTTTTTGAAGTACTTATGACACGATCATGATTCTCTGTTATTTCTGTTCTCGTCATCTCGTAGCATTTTCGTAAATGATGTTATATAGGGTGGGTCAGCATTTTTACATATTGACTGGTGATGATATTTTTTGAAGTACTTATGACACGATCATGATTCTCTGTTATTTCTGTTCTCGTCATCTCGTAGCATTTTCGTAAATGATGTTATATAGGGTGGGTCAGCATTTTTACATATTGACTGGTGATGATATTTTTTGAAGTACTTATGACACGATCATGATTCTCTGTTATTTCTGTTCTCGTCATCTCGTAGCATTTTCGTAAATGATGTTATATAGGGTGGGTCAGCATGTTTACATATTGACTGGTGATGTTATTTTTTGAAGTACTTATGACACGATCATGATTCTCTGTTATTTCTGTTCTCGTCATCTCGTAGCATTTTCGTAAATGACGTTATATAGGGTGGGTCAGCATTTTTACATATTGACTGGTGATGATATTTTTTGAAGTACTTATGACACGATCATGATTCTCTGTTATTTCTGTTCTCGTCATCTCGTAGCATTTTCGTAAATGACGTTATATAGGGTGGGTCAGCATTTTTACATATTGACTGGTGATGATATTTTTTGAAGTACTTATGACACGATCATGATTCTCTGTTATTTCTGTTCTCGTCATCTCCTAGCATTTTCGTAAATGACGTTATATAGGGTGGGTCAGCATTTTTACATATTGACTGGTGATGATATTTTTTGAAGTACTTATGACACGATCATGATTCTCTGTTATTTCTGTTCTCGTCATCTCGTAGCATTTTCGTAAATGATGTTATATAGGGTGGGTCAGCATTTTTACATATTGACTGGTGATGTTATTTTTTGAAGTACTTATGACACGATCATGATTCTCTGTTATTTCTGTTCTCGTCATCTCGTAGCATTTTCGTAAATGACGTTATATAGGGTGGGTCAGCATTTTTACATATTGACTGGTGATGATATTTTTTGAAGTACTTATGACACGATCATGATTCTCTGTTATTTCTGTTCTCGTCATCTCGTAGCATTTTCGTAAATGACGTTATATAGGGTGGGTCAGCATTTTTACATATTGACTGGTGATGATATTTTTTGAAGTACTTATGTATATTTAATGTAATTGAAATATCATTGAAATTATATTTGTATAGGAGTATAGATGTGTCAATAAGGGTAACACCATGTTATATCACAAAATCTAAGATACATACTATAGTATACAAAGCTGAATATTACAAAAACTAGAGATTTGAAAATTGGGCAATTACAAGTTCTTTTGACTTCTTCATAACATATGTAGAGAAAAAATTATTAAGTACTCATAATGATCCAAATTACAATTTTTTCAGTATGATGTTGAATTGTACCAGAGGATTGAACAATTAATTGGTAAACAATTACCACTTTACAAAACAGAAGACGACGAGGTGATGGCTTTACAGGAAAGAGTAGCAGAATCACAAAGGATAGCTAAAATGGTAAGATCCATAATAGTACCTGCATAATTTGTAACCATGTAGGTCAATGTTTATGTTATTTCAAAATTGGCAAACAATATTTAATTATCTTAACAAAGTTGTATAATTCAGTGTTAATACTTCTTCGTTGACCTATTAGATTAGTTAATTAGAAGTATTGCACCTATAAAGTGTTGAATAATATTTATTTAGTTGGTAACAAGCATATCTCAAATTATATCAATTCACTTTTTATTCAGGAAATAAAAGATCTAAGTGATAAAAAGGGGAAGAGGAAAAAAGGCGGGGATGAAGACGATGATACAGAGGGAGCCACAGGTGTGCGGAAAAGACTCAAAGGGAAAGGCGGAAATAAAAAAACAGCACGGAGAAAGTAGGTAATTGTACTTTTATGTTAATGTTCGATGTTCTTATATATTCTTAATAAAAAATTCAATAAACCCGATTTTATGTTTTTCTTGAGTCAAATGAGAAAAATACCACAAAATTATCACACTACTGTTGATATACCGAGGGGAGTAGAAATTTTGCTCCATAAGCAAACCACCCTTAATATTATAAATTGATAAACATCGCATCTGTGTTTGAAATGGGTAAACTCTATGTGCTTTTTTGGAATTTTTTATTGGACTTTAAGATAGGTATTGGTACATTACATTATTAAAGAAACACGAACGTCTTATGATATAAACTACTCAACACTAATTTCGTCGCACACCAAAATGTCGCCCCTGTTATAGCCCAGTCCTTCAGCTATAATCTCGTACTTCATTGAGACATAAGGGTATTCACATAAAATCTCTACATGGTGTTTTCCGACACTGTGCAAAATTTCGGAATATTCAAAAGGCTCTCAAATGGTGAAAACATTTTTTTTCTCAACTTCGACAACAGAGGCATGAAGATGATCTCATTACCTCGAGATATTTCGCGAATCAACTTCCTATCTCTCTTATTTACAGAGTGATCTCAAAAAATCAACTTTTTGGTTTTGCAGCCATAACTTTCTTTCACTTCAACCGATACTAGAAATCTTAGGCTCATTTTGAAGATAAAACTTCAGATGAAGAGATCTGAATATCATAATTGACTCAAGATGGCTATCAAAGATCTAGAGTTTTCTTGAAAGTGACCCAAATCTGGAACGCCCTCCGAATCTCGGTTGGGAGGAGAATTGAATGAAAATCAACGTGTTCTCGGAAAAACAATACATTCTGGATGCGTCCATATTTTCCTCGCTCTCAGTAGTCAAGAATGTGCGTGAGAAAACACAATTGAAAGATGTTCTTGCCGAAACATCAGACCATTTCTCCCCTGTAATGCATGGCCCGTAACCAACGTTACAAGAATCAGAGTAAGTGACTGAAAAGTCAGGTTAGAGGTCGTTTTCGAATCATAAACAGATTTCGATAGTTTCGATGCCGCATCTAACGCGAATGTGGGTGACAACTTTGTTCTCGTTGATGACAATGCGAGACCGCATAGGGTTGTTGGTACACCATTTATGATGAGCCTTAGCTGGTCGGGTTTGTCAGTCCATTGTGATTCTTGTAACGTTGGTTACGGGCCATGCATTACAGAGGAGAAACGGTCTGATATTTTTGCAAGAACATGTTTCAATTGTGTTTTCTCACGCACAATTCTTGACTACTGAGAGCGAGGAAAATATGGACGCATCCAGAATAAATTGTTTTTCCGAGAACAAGTTTGATTTTCATTCAATTCTCCTCCCAACCGAGATTCGGAGGGCGTTCCAGATTTGGGTCACTTTCAAGAAAACTCTAGATCTCTGATAGCTATCTTGAGTCAATTATGATATTCTGATCTCTTCATCTGAAGTTTTATCTTCAAAATGAGCCTAAGATTTGTAAAATCGGTTGACGTGGAAAAAAGGTATGGCTGCAAAACCAAAAAGTTGATTTTTTTGAGATCACTCTGTAAATAAGAGAGATAGGAAGTTGATTCGCCTCTGTTGTCGAAGTTGAGAAAAAAAATGTTTTCACCATTTGAGAGCCTTTTGAATATTCCGAAATTTTGCACAGTGTCGGAAAACACCATGTAGAGATTTTATGTGAATACCCTTATGTTTCAATGAAGTACGAGATTATAGCTGAACGACTGGACTATCGAACAGTGTGAACCAAATTCAAATTGTTCTAAACTGAAAAAAGTTATTCACATTATAACAGTGGCGACATTTTGGTGTGCGACGAAATTAGTGTTGAGTAGTTTAGTTTATTATCAATTTTCTCAGAATAGTCAACACCACAATGCAGGTATTATAACAAGTACAAAAAACATACTAGATATAAATTCTTTGGCTTAGTATAATGTCCTATAGAAACATGTGAATAACAAAAGTTCATGAAAAAATGTGGGATTAGATATACATGACATATAACATATTTCCTAGGAAAACATAGTTTGGTATTTTTGGTAACTAATGAGTCTTGTCCTAATAAAACATGATGTTTTCTTTTCAGACTGACAAGTTTAGTATTCTTTGAGAACTTGAAACTTACATAATATGCGAGTACGATTTTTCAAAATCCAGTAGAAACCTCATTTTTACAAACTTCCAAAGAATCGACAAACTCTTCACTCTCGCATCCATTCCCTTCACTTGGAATCTCCATTCTTTTGTGTCCATCTGTTTTATGAACCTTATGGAAACACTGAACTTCATCGTAAATATCATTTTCCACAATGAAACTAGTCCGTCTGGGTTCTTGGAGAATTTTCGCACAGTTCTCCGATGTTCTGGAATTATTGTACTGTTTCGGATCGGTGAATTTGTAATAATGATGGGACTTGTAATAAGTGGGCTCTGTCTCAGTTTCGCGTCTTTGATCTCTATCTGTTTTCGGTTTTGGTACTGGGGATGCCTCCAGAGAATCGGGGGTAATGCTATTCAGTGTGGAGGGGTCATCAGACGATTCCCTGAAAATATCAATAACATACAGGAATGAAAAAACTGTATTATCAGAGGTTACTGCTTATTTTTTTTACAAAAACTTCTATTTGGCAAAAACCATGAATGAGTAGAGAACAAATAACAATGATTATATAGTGTGTCCCACTTACCATGCTCACCATGGGTATCTTTTTAACGGTGAGAGATACGAGGTCGGTTAAATGACACCAAATGTGGAGTTTGTCAAGACCAATTATTATGTGAAAAAATATTTTGATAAAATCTATTCGTTTTTGTTTTATACGCAAAAAACAGATTTTGATCATTTTCATGTCTCCTCCGTAACTTCTTTATTTATGAAAATATTCTAATAGGAACTTCACATTCTTACGGCAGTTTTTCAAAGTAATTTCGAGAAAAATATGAAATTCATACCAACTCTTCTAGAATTTGAGATATCAGCACCAACTTTAGTTTTTCAAATGTAGGTCATAGCTCACTATGACTTAGTACAAATAACTTTTGTTTCTCTTACAGATGATATGTCGCAGTAATAGTTTTGTGTTGATAACAACGGAGTTATCGTCATTTATACAAAAACAAAAAATTATTTGGAAGCCGCCATCTTGAATTTATAAACTTTAACAAAAAAATCATGATCTCCGACCTCAGAAACCCCCCACTTACCAATTTTGAATGGAATCGGACCAAATCTTGTCCGCCATCTTGTAGCAGCCATTTTTTTTAATTTCAACAAAAATTCCATAACTCCGATTAACTTGAAATTTGGCCGGTGTTCATAATTTCGGTGACAATACATTATGGAATTTTTATTGAAATTGAAAAAAATGGCTGCTCCAAGATGGTACCAAATTGTTAAGTGGGTGTTTTTGAGGTCGGAGATCATGATTTTTTTGATAAAATTCATAAATTCAAGATGACGGCTTCCAAATAATTTTTTGTTTTTGTGTGAATGACGATAACTCCGTTGTTATCAACACAAAACTATTACTGCGACATATTATCATCTGTAAGAGAAAAAAAGTTATTTGTAACTAAGTCATAGTGAGCTAGGACCTACATTTGAAAAACCAAAGTTGGTGCTGATATCTGAAATTCTAGAAGAGTTGGTATAAATTTCATATTTTTGTCGAAATCACTTTGAAAAACTGCCATGAGAATGTGAAATTCCTATTTGGATATTTTCATAAATAAAGAAGTTACGGAGGAGACATGAAAATGATCAAAATCTGTTTTTTGCGCATAAAACAAAAACGAATAGATTTTATCAAAATATTTTTTCACATTATAGTTGGCCTTGACAAACTCCACATTTGGTGTCATTTCACCGACTTCGTATCTCTCACCGTTGAAAAGATACTCATGGTGAGCATGGTAAGTGGGACACACTGTATAACCTCAGTAAAAACGTTGCTATCGATATGTTCGATATATTGAATATTCGATATATCGAATATCCAAATATTCGAATATTCAAATAGTCAAATATTCAGATATTTAGATATTCGAATATTCGAATATTCAGATATTCGAATATTCAGATATTCGAATATTCAGATATTCGAATATTCAGATATTCGAATATTCAATTATTCGAATATTCAGATATTCGAATATTCAAATATTCGAATATTCAAATATCTAAATGCTCAAATATTCGAATATTCAGATATTCGAATATTCAAATATTCGAATATGCAAATGTTCGAATATTCAAATATTTCGAATAAACGATATATCGAATGCCCTATATACCGAATATTCGACAATTAAGACATATATTTGATATCGAATGGATTTCAGTTTTTTCGAATTACTATTCTTACTATACATTCGTTCTAGATATTGATTAACTTACTGTCAAATAACTCCATCACCACCAGAAACATTACTATTTGTTTTTATTTATTTCCTCCAGATTTCAAACGAATATGAGTAATATGCTAAGATGGGTGTCAATTATCAATAATCAATTTAAAGAATATAATAGGTATGCTCTTGATGGGGAAAGTAGTGTGAAATTATCTGGGAAATTATGATGGAGTAAATAATATTCTGAGCATTTCTGAGTAAAAATTATGGAATATATATTTATATTATTATGCATACCTACCTTTAACGTTCGTATAGAGTTAATGGCCTTATTGGCCTATAACTACACTCTATAGGGTACCGGATAGTTGATTGACTCGAAAATTGAAGAAAAAAATATTGAAAAGATCATATTATATTTGTTGAAGGCAATTTTCAATTGACTACATAATAACTGAAACACGAAATAAATTCTCTACAAAAAATATGAAAAACTTAATAAATATGCTAAACATTTGTTAATAATAAAGATCTAGTCAATTCGAATGGGCACATGCTTCTTATTAACACTTAGGAATATCAGTTGTTCTGCATGTTCTGACGTCAAATATGTTCGAATATTCGAATATTTGTATATTTGAATAATCAAATATTCGAATAATGGAATATTCAAATATTCGAATATTCGATATATCGATATATTCCGACCGAAATATCGTTATTCGATATATCGAATATTCGATAAAATATCGATATATCGAAATAAATTCCCAGCCCTAGTCAAAAATCTTGAAATGATGCATGATCAACCCATTCTTATATACAGGGTGGTCCTCAAACAACAATTATGACATCAAGTAATAAAAAAAATCTTAGTCTCAAGTGTCTGGGACACCCTGTATAATGGTACCATTTTTGTCTAGTTAATTCCTTTCATTCTTACCCGCTGATCGCAACCATGTCTGACGGTTTCAATATTGGCCCGAAAAACCTCGTGGAACCAATAATGGCTTCCGAATTCGCCTCAGTTCTCGGTAGTATAGTCAACGATTTGTGTGGCCTTGGAACATCATAATCTGGCTCCGAGAAACGACGTCTTCTTCCGGGTAGCAATTTCTTCAACTGAAAAAACATATTTTGGGTTTGAGTCAAGTTTTTTAAAACCGAATAACATAATCAGCCTAACAGATATATGATAACTTCAATATTGTTCGTCCTTTTTTCTTGTCACAGAAAAAACTGTGTATTATACACGGAACATATTAGATTTTAGCTCACAGAGCTGGACGTGGAGCTAAAGTCTACTACTTTTTTCTCTTGTATAATAAATAACTATTTATTGCCTTCATATTGTTTTTTCACTTCGGTCCTGTTTTAGAGAATTTTTTATTTTTTGGGCCATTATACAATTAAACGCGTGAAATAAGTACGGCAACGACGGACTTGCTTTTTTAAAAAATAACTTTTATTACAGAATACAAATATAAATGAACAGAGAGATGTTTATACAAGTAAATCTAAGTCTGACTGCCGTTTGCCGGTAAAAATGGAATTAAGAAACCTCGGTGCTTGTTCGACATCTCGGAAACCAGGGGTGTTGAGTTTCCGATGAATCAGCAGAATCCTTGGCTAGGTGGTGAGATAATTCCTCCCCTCAAAAATACAACTACGGAGTGCAGCGGGGTAGTTAAACAACTGGAAGGCTTATTTCTTTGAGGGCTAACTGAACTGGCTTCGCCTTGGAACATCTAGATTGCAGCGATTTCTTGAACATGCAGTTAGCTACAATTACGATGATCAGGATGCAAGCAGTTACGCTCCATATCCTGTGTGTTCGGAATATTCTACCTGAAGTGAATGATATTTCAGGACTATTCTGAATAAGCTGTGTTTTCAGGTCATGCAGTTCGTCAACATCCTGGTGGAATTTCGATCAGATAGGTTCCAACAATTTTGGAGATATCTTCTTGATCTCGACACTTGAGTCCTCTAATTGGTTGATCTTAGGCTTAGTGATCTGCACATTGATCGACTGGCATGTTGATGCGGAATAGAGCAGTTCAGCTACCGTTGAGAGAGAAAAAAAAGTCTTTCCCATCTGTCCTTTTCTTCAGTGTTCCAACATAAAATAATGAAAATATTATGTTGGCATCATTGGAAATAAGAAAAAATGGAGAAGAATATCATATTAACCTCAATATGAAAGAACGGTCTTCTTCTCCATTTCTTCTCATTTCCAGTGTTGGCAACATAAGATTTTCATTATTTCATGTTGGAACACTGAAGACAAGGACAGATGGGAAGACAGGAAGGTGTTCCCCGAGGCATATAACTTATTCCAGAAATTTAACAAGAACACCAATCTCTACCTTATTTCTCTTGGTTCTCACGATGTTCTCAGAACATTACAGGATATCTCTTCGTGGGAACCAGAATATATTCAAATAAACGAATGCAATTTGTACAAGGTAACACGCTTGAATGTACAATTATTTGGTCATTTTTATGCATGAATGTAATTTATTGGAATATTTCACGAATAAAAAAAACTCGATAGATTGTGTGGAGCACTCACCAATACTCAGGATTTCTTTCATTTTTTGAAGTCTATCTGCAGTGCAGTTATCGCTGTAAGTTTTTGATATTTGCATTGCTCCTATGGGACATTTCATATATGAGGGAAATATTCTTCAGAACAATCGACATATTGGTGAGATATCACTTTGTACACTAGTGTGGTAAACTATCACTTTGCAAACTAGTGTGGTGAATTATTACTTTGCAATCTAGTTTAGCAAAGTTGAACTTTGCACACTAGTGCGTTGAATAATCAGTTTGCACACTAGCGTGGTCAAGATGAACTTTGCACACTAGTGTAGAAATGCTTATATTTTTACCCTCGTTACTTTCAACCGCTGCGAGTCGAAAATTTTACCTCTAAATCATCCAGATTGGACACATCCAGACTGGTAGTGACTCCAGGCTTCAGAATGGGAGCGCTGGCCACCTTGGCAAGCTCCTCCAATAATCTGCTCAACTCGTCTTGTTCGATGTCGTCCCTGTACACGTGACTTTGACATTGCCTGCCCCCTCTGAGCACCACTTCGTTCTCGGGGTCTTCGTGGTCGCTGAAACGTTTTATCAGCCGTTTCACGTTGTTGTTGTTGTTGTTGTTGTTGTTGTGGGGTTGTTCTTCTTCGAGGTCTTGGAGGATATCGTCGATGCTTTTGAGGTTGTCCGAAGGTGATGTTGTCTTTTTGGCCGGCAGGTCGATCGGTCTAACGTTAGGGGGGATGTCGTGGAATGGGTAGGGGGTGTCTATTTGCCGGGATTTCGGGGGTACCGGCGGAGAGTCGATTTCTGGAAGTTACGAAATTCATTCAGGGGCGTAATTTCAGGCCAAGGGGGTGGTGAAAAACAAAAAATAAATTGCGAAGAAATGCACAGCCTGCGAATTTTTTTCTGAGGTGCAAGGTCAAATGCCTTAAGAGTGACAACAACTTACTTAATTACTTTTTAGGGTGTTCGTGAGAAAGATATAATAAGAATGAAATTATATTAATTAAACAAGGTGTTTCCGAATTGTAGTGACAAAAGCCTAGGAATGATTCGTGTCAACAAAATATGAAAAAGGGTTTGAATAAACTTGGGTCTGAAAATGCTTCTTTTCCAAGGCCAAGTTCAAACAAAATAGTTTTTTATCAATATCTTTATTTATAATTTTTCTATTGAAGAAAATCATATTGAGACTACAGAATGCTTTTTGAATAACTGAAGATACATGTTTTTTGTATCTAAGATCGATATCAATTTGTAATCCTAAACTCTTTATGTGAAGAAAAATTGAGGGAGGTATCATCAACAGTACAGTGCACAAGAGGTACAAAACGTTTTTGAGCTGCTTTTTTACCGAACAGTAATGCTTTAGATTTCGATGGATTAATTTTCAAGCAGAATTTCTTTGACAGAGATGCAAGTTGTTGTAAATCTTCGTTAATTTTATTGCAAGCAGAGTCAACATCTCGCTCATGAAAAGAATGGTAAAGAGATATCATCCGCATAAAAATGAGTTGTGCATGTTTTGATACTCTTGTGAAGTTGAGAGGTATATAAGGTGGACAGTAAGGGCCCAAGTGTGGACCCCTGTGGAACACCACATACCACTTCAAGGAAAGTCGAAGAATTCCGCTGAATAACTACAGACTGAGATCGATTAGATAGATAATTCCGTATTAGTTCACATGATCCCGTCGAAAACCCTATATGTCCCAGAATGGTAACCCAGTAGCTGATGGCATACCATATCAAAAGCCTCCGAGTTATCAATGAGGACAAGAATACATGATTTATCATTATCTATTGGCTGTGGCACAATTATGGCCCTGCCGAAACCCAGATTGATGAACCGGAAAAATGTTATTAGAACTAGAGTGTTTTCTAATTTGTCTATCCATAATTTTTTCGAGCCCCTGCTTTGACAAGGTACATAAGATACTTATTGGTCGAATATCTCCAAATCCATCCGTTAACGAATTTTTGGGTATAGGTACCACATTAGCTCTCTTCCATATTGTAGGAAATGTATTATTCAATGAGCAAAAATTATAAATGTGTGTCACAATAGGTATCATGAGAGGGCAGCTGTAGACATCGTACTCACTCGTAGGAGAGAAGGCAAATTCTGGGCCATCGATTTGCAAAAAGTTATTAGGGGAACAATTCAGAGTATTAATATCGCATCCATTATTGCCATCCTGTGAGGAGGAACCCACGATATTATAGTTCATTCTTGACTCATTCGAGCAACCAGCATGTCCAAATACACTCAGTTCCAAAAAAAGTGAAGCACTTGATATTTGACCTATATCTTCTTAAAAAAAAAATAGTAGGCCGATTTTTTTTTTATTTTTTGGTAGGTAATGCATTTGTCTTTGAATAAAAATAAAGAGGTGAACATTTTTTCAAAACCTTGATGGTGGTGGAATAACTCGAACCATGATTTATTCTTAATTAATTTTTGACTCACCCTGTGTGTTAATTGAGTAATGGCATAGAAAGAGCTTACACCAGATACGAATGAGGCTTCTTTTGCGAGCATTTTGTTTTTTTATTCATTGATTTATCTCTAAAATTTTCCGAATTACAGCTTTTTTGCTGATACCTTACGCTTATCACACAAATTAAATTTATTGAAGGGTCAGAGTACTCAAAATTGATTGGGTTGTACTCTGGTAGGATCACATTGTCTTAAAAAAACAAATGCCGTTGCCATAGCAACTAATTTGTTGTATGCCTCCATATTTGACCATTTATCGTTGTGTCATCAATTAAGTGTCTTGTTTTATTGACTAAAATTACATAAAATGCCTCAAATAAATCCTGAACAAGTAGCAAGATTAGTTGCGTTAGTGAACGATGGGCGTAGTAAACGTTAAGCCGCTCGTGCAGTGGGAGTTCATGAAGCAACTGCTCGTAGAGCAATCCGCAAGTACGAACATTCGAACAAACAGGAAGCACTGCTCGGAGGGTCGGTTCTGGTCGCCCCCGAAAAACTTCTCCAAGAGATGATCGCTTCTTGAGATTGCGGATTTTAAGGAATCGATCAAATACTGCAGTAAATGTTCAGCAAGATCTTCGCCAAATTCGTGATGTTGCAGTAAGTAAGCAGACGGTATGTAGAGCTAGGAGACCTGCAAAAGGTCCCAAATTATTGCCCGAACCCCGAACATCGTGCTGCTAGAAGAAATTTTTGTTGAAAATTATGGACAGTGGAATATTCCTGAATGGTCGAATGTCTTGTTTACGGATGAGTCAAGGTTTTGCCTTAACATGGTGGATGGAAGAAAAAGAGTGTGGAGAAGAACTGGTGACCGGTTTAATCAAAATTTAATAACAGAATGCGAAAGTTTTAATGGTGGGTCCGTTATATGGTGTGGGGAGGGATTTCAATGAATGGAAAGACACCCCTTCATGTTTTTCCGGCGAGGCAGTCGATGAATGCCCAAATTCACATTGACATTTAGAGCAGTATGTCTTACCTTATGCAGAGTTAGTGGGCAATAATTTTATATTGATGCAGGATAATGCCCGACCACACACCGCAGCAATAGTGCGAAACTTCTTAAAAGCTACTAGTATTACCACATTACAATGGCCGGCGAGAAGCCCTGATATGAATCCTATAGAACATTTGTGGGATGAATTAGGGAGAAGAAATGGCAGATGCATTAGTGGAAGAATGGGATCGTATACCAATGGAAACGATAAGCAACTTAATTTCCAGTATGCCTCGTAGATTATAAGTTCTTAGAGTTGCTAGAGGAGGCAATACACGGTATTAAGCAGTCATCCCAATTTATGATTTTGTGTTTAATAAAAATGTTTTTTTAAAATTATTGGTGTCAGTTTATTTCATTATATAGAAAATTGTTTCTCGATAAATTCAGATAGTTGGTAATCTGCAAGGATTCAGCAAAAAAGCTGTTATTCGGAAAATTTTAGAGATAAATCAATGAATAAAAAAACAAAATGCTCGCAAAAGAAGCCTCTTTCGTATAGGGTGCAAGCACTTTCTATGCCACTACGCAATTAACACACAGGGTGAGTCAAAAATTAAGAATAAATCATATATGGTTCGAGTTATTCCACCACCATCAAGGAGGCTTTGAAAAAAATGTCACTGCCTTATTTTTTTTCAGGACAAATGCATTACCTACCAACAAATAAAAAAAATTAAAATCAGCCTACTATTTTTTGTTTTTTTTTAAGAAGATTGGTCAAATATCAAGTTCCTCACTTTTTTTGGAACTTAACAACATAATAACCTCGATTCTCAAGATGGGCCCCATTCTATCTTTGATCAACTGGATGAACAAGTGTTGGGATCTTCCATAAAGCCCCCTTTGGGCCATGGGGAATTTGCCCTTCATTATTTATTTTTAATAATGTAAATTGTAATATTAATATTATTGTTGCCTTCCTTTTTTTCACTTTCACCTGAGTATACATAAACTAAGGTATAACATTTGTAACTATATAATAAAACTGTTCTTTGTAGAAATTGTCATTCAAAATATGCTCCTGCTGATGATGGACTATTGATAGTCCTAAACATGTTCAGACACTGATTATTCAGTTAATAAATTTGTGGAGATGACTTGGTGTGTCTTGTTTATGAAAAAAAAAATTTAGTCCACTCGCCTATTACCCTGTATTATTCAGTTTCATGTTCTCATTTCGAACATAATTTTCACTTTTGTTTTGTTGCATTCGAGGAAGTATTTTAACAACTTTTATTACGTTGATTTACTTACCTTGTAGTTGTAGGTCATTAATGTCACAATATAAATCATTTTCTATGATGCTTTCAGATTTGTAGTCGGAACTAGTTTCAGATTTTGGAGAATTTATGGTGGATCCTACATCGCTAGTGATCTGCCGCTAAAACATAAATATAAAATATGTTATACAGGCTGTCCCTCTCTAAACAAAAAAAACGTCAACAGATATAAAGGTCACTTGTTTGCTTATGAGACTTCGAAATTTTCAATCCAATATCAAGCAAGGAAAATAACTATTTTGAATAAAATATTGTTTTTATCTTTCGTTCGAAATCAAATGATGGAACCCTCATTCCGCCATGATTGAGATGGTTTTGCTGACACATTTTGTACAGAAAAGTAACTTCAATATTATCTTGTGATATATCGTTGAATTCGAAAAAATAGTAGAATTGGTTATACAGGGTGAGTCATAACTATTGGGACATAGGCTAAGGGCGGATTGTTTGGACCAAAATATGGCGATTGGACCAAACATGCCTTAATAAAATATTGCTGTGAAAAGAGATACAGGGCGTTAAAGTTGATTTTTTTCGTTTTTTGTCGGTTTTTTGCTCATAATTTCACTGTATATGAAATATATTTGAAACAGTTTCCTGATTTGGTTGCTTTCTGTCTAGATATTAGAGATATTACAATTCATACCTTCTGGCTGCATCCCGGATTTATTCATTCATAAAATGATTGTGACGAGACACTTCAATCGAAAACATTTTGACTATAAACTCGCACCAAAATTCATTCTCTGACAAGAAATGCCATTTCCAGCAGCATTATCTGACAGTTCAAAGCACACTCTTCATGAATCAAATAATATTTCTAATTACCTTCTGAGACTCTGAACTGTTCAATATCGTTTGCCTCGAAAACGGATGAAAATATCGTGTGCAATCAGGGGTAGAAATGATGTTTAGGTCATATTTTTTATTCAAAATCACTCAAAAGTTTCGTCAAAAAAGTAACCAGGCGATTTCATCACCAGGAATCATTCACGTGGCGCCCCCTGTATCAAAATGTAGAATAGTACATAAAATAATATTCCCTGTATGAAATTATGCCTCTGTGCCAATTTTGATAACAATTGATGAATATACAGTGAAATAATTGGTAAAAAACGAAAATGAAAAGTCAACTTCAACGCCCCGTATCTTTTTCCACAGCAATATTCTATGAAGGCATATTTAGTCCTATCGCCATATTTTGGTCCAAACAATCCGCCCTTAGCCTATGTCCCAATAGTTATGACTCACCCTGTATATAGCTTACGATGTTTTTCAGCACAGTATTTATACCATATTTGTTAGGGGTTCCATAAATTTTCTATCTATCAGATTGATCTTTGCATTATTGAACTAATTACATACGACGGCTTAATTGATAGATATTGTCTTGCGATTTTTTTTTGTTCAAAATTATGATTGCAACTATTGCAAGATCACTTTGTCAATTAGACGATGTGCAAGAGATTTATCTTGCAATTAGGGCTTGATTGGAAGAATATTCTTACAAATAGCCTAATTGCACGAATATTCTGTCAATTGAGCTAATTGCCATAACAAAAAATGATTTTTTTTCGTTCAAAATTAAAATTGCAGTTTTTTTTCGTTGAAACATGATTGCTTATTCATCATCCTGTAAGTTGAGGGTAGTGCAAGATTCATCTTGCAATTGGTGCTGGGTTGACAGATCAATCTTTCAATTAGTATAATTGCAAGATCAGTCTGTCAATTGGGATAGTTATAAAAATGAGAAGAGTTTTCGCTCAAAATTATAATTGCAAGATTCTGACAATTAGGCTAATTGCGAGATACATCTTGTGATTACGGCTCAATCGACAAATAATTTGTGCAAATAATGTTTTTGTTCGTTTGAAATTATGAATGCAAAATCAATTTCTCGATTAGTCGAAGTTTAGAATTCATCTCGCAATTAGGGCTTAATTGACAGTTTAGTGTTGCAATCATTGTGGTTGTAGATGAGCTTTAATTGACAGATTGAACTGTCAGTTGGGCTATATATATAACCTGAAAACATGTTTTGCCCACAATTTTTATTTGCAAGACTATTTTGACAATTGAGCTGATTGCAAGATAAATCTTCTGATTACGGATTAATCGACCAATCAATCAATTTTTCGTTCAAAATTATAATTGCAAGATTCTGATAATTAAACTAATTGCAAGATACATTTTGTGATTACGGCTTGATGAACAAATAAGTCGTGCGAATAATGTTTTCGTTCGTTAAAAATTATGATTGCAAGATCGTTTTCTCAATCAGTCGAAGTTTAAGATTTATCTTGCAATTACTGCTTGATTGACAGTTTAGTCTTGCAATTAGTGTGATTGTAGTTGAGGTTTAATTGACCGATTGATCTGTCAGTTGAGCTATATCCATGAAAACATGTTTTGTTCAAATTTTAAGTTGCAAGATTATTCTGACAATTAAGCTAATTGCAAGATACATTTTGTGATTACGGCTTGATGAACAAATAATTCGTGCGAATAATGTTTTCGTTCGTTAAAAATTATGATTGCAAGATCGTTATCTCAATCAGTCGAAGTTCAAGATTTATCTTGCAATTACTGCTTAATTGACAGTTTAGTCTTGCAATTAGTGTGATTGTAGTTGAGGTGTATATACCATGAAAACATGTTTTGCTAAAAATTTTAATTGCAAGATTATTCTGACAATTAAGCTGATTGCAAGATGAATCTTCTGATTACGAATTAATTGACAAATCTATCTAGCTATTTTTTGTTCGTTCAAAATTATTATTGTAAGATCATTTTGTCAATTAGGCGGAGTGTAATATTTATCTTTCAATTAGGGCTCGATTGACAGATTAATATTTCTGTTAGTCTAATTATATTGAAAGATCAATTTGTCGATTGAGCAAGTTATCAATAAAATGATGCAAGTTTTCCTTCGAACTTATAATTGCAAGATTCTGACAATTAAGCTAATTGCAAGATAAATCTTGTGATTACGGCTCAATTGACAAATAATTCGTGCAAATAATGTTTTTGTTCGTTTAAAATTATGGTTGCAAGATCATTTTCTTAATTAGTCGAAGTTTAAGATTTATCTTGCAATTAGGCCTTGATTGACAGATTAGTCTTGCAATTAGTGTGCTTGTAGTTGAGGTTTAATTGACAAATATTTATCTGTCAGTTGTGGTATTGCAATTGATAATTATTGCAAGGTTATTCTGACAAGTGACGGATTAATTGACAAATCAATGTGGCTATTTTTCTTCTCGTCCAATAAAATCATTATTGTAAGATCATTTTGTCAATTAGACGAAGTGTAATTTTCATCTTTCAATCAGGGTTTAATTGACTGAATAATCTTGCAGTTTGCCTGATTGCGAGATTTTTCTGTTAATTCAGCCCTGATTTCAAGATAAATACACCCTGTGGAGTGTTTCCGGTTTTCGTTTGTACTTACAATGATAATGGGCATTTTGCTTTCAAGGATATTCTGCAGTTCTGTCAACATCTGCACTGCCGTCCCGTCATTCACAGCAGCCAACTTCTCCACGACAGCTGACGGTACACTCTCGTATATGACGTCATCAGCTTCATTTTCTTTCGTCTTGTGTTTCCCTTTCCTCTTCCAGACCCTTCGCAAGAAACTGGGCCTTTTCACCAGCTTCGAGCCGCTTTTCTCCCCATCGTCTTTCCTTTTTTCTTTGGTTTTACTCTTGCTTGGTTTCTTCTTTTGTTCATGATGCTCGATTGTTGTGTTCAAGGTCAAGGCATGTTCTGAATTTTCTGCTGGCTTTTGGAAAAGTTCGGATATTTCTGAGTATCCGTTTTCCTCGGAACTGTCGGATGCAATGACTTCGTTTTCGTTTTGGTCTGTTCTAGGATTCGTGTAGGCGTATTGGTCGTTTTCTACCCAGAGAGCATCAGTTACTTGCTGCTTGTTTTCGATTTCTTCTTCATGATCTTCGTTGATTTTTTGATGAATACTGACAGAGTAGGTATCGTTTTCTAGGATGAAAGTAATCGGCCTTTTTGCGTCGCTCAGTGACCTTATTCTTAGAGAGCTATAAGCTTTGTCAGGCAACGTCATATATTTTTTTGTTTTCTGACGGCAGCTCTTATCAGGCACGCTGTATATGGTGTTATCTATGAGTTCCGCTTTTATTCTTTCGTATATGTGGTCGGAGGACTGATTGCAAGTTTGTGAATGCACGTCATAGTCACTGTTTTGCATCAAGTCGGCATATTCTGTGTTTTCTAGAACTCTTGACAAGTTTTCGATACTCTGGGAGATTTCACGTGGAGTTTTTCTTGCGGTCGGTAATTTTTTTGGCGTGCCTTGCGGTATGCAGGATTGTGCGCCCATTTTCTGGAGCCTCTGTATGATAACGTCCGTTGTTATTTGACTATTTGGGTCTTCATTTTTCGGTGGTATATTTTGTCTTTGGTGGTTGTTGGTTGGTGGTGTTTGTTTTTTGGTCTCCGTTGGTTCTTTCTGCTGCAAATCGTCCATGGAATATCGAAAATGGCTCATTCTCTGTTGGTTTTTGTTCGGATTTATTTCGGACATGAGGGCTTGCATCCATCTGTTTTGTTCTTCACGGTTTTCCGCTCTCTGGAATAGTTATTTTCCTAACAAGTGTGGAAAGTTATACTTTCCCGCACGCGAATGCCGTTGACCCGAACGACGCGAAGCGGAGTTCGGGCAAGCAGTCGAGTGCGGGAAACACACTTTCCGCACGAGTTAGGAACAATATTTTTTCTACAAGCGCAGGCAATTGATTGATTTGTTCAATCAATTATTCCTGCAAATAGGAACAACTAACAATAGTGATAGAGGAGGGCCAGGTAGCCGTGCTGACAGAGTGTCAATATTCTAATCCGCATTCGCTTGCCGGTCGTGGGTTCGATTCCCAGCGACTGCAGAAATTTTTCTGATGGCCCAAGAAAGTGTTTGGGATCATACGTTAAAAGGTAAGGCCCCCGTCATTTCTTGCTCGCACAAGTCTCTCGAAGACTTCTGACTCTTCTGAGGGTTGCTCGTAAGGGGGCAACAGAAAGACGGATAGAACAATTTTAGAACAACAATTTCAGAACAATTATTCTCTATCTTCTAATAATTAGTGATATATATCTATTGTGTATACCGTTTGGAGCATTATGTAGGTAAGTTTATTGTGGAAGCCAGCATGCCCATGATGTTTGGCCTCTAGGTTTCAGACAGTTCTTGGAAATGAGCCAAAAATACTTCTTCTTCATTTGGTGTTTTCACTTTTTTACTATTGCACTATTCAATAAATCCCGTGAAGTGCTTCACATACCTTTCTTAAGACTTCGTTGGCTAGAACTAATCTGTATCGCATCTGTAGTATAGACAGAGGTTCAATTAGCGATTATTTCTTTTATGGATTGGATTATTTTGCTATTTGTGTTATGTACAACAAAATAATTTGAATTTTTGAGGGAAGTTATATGGCATCCAGCACCTCTAAGTCAGATTCTCCCTGGAGAGCTGATTTCATCGATCTATTATTACAGTTGGGGTCTAGCTGAAATGATTACCGAGATATGGAGTGTGAAAAATTGAGATTTTTTTCAACTTTAGGAATGTTTTGTGTCGAAACTATTCATTATTGGCCAAAACTGTTTGTGAGTCTTCAACTTTTGATACCACTATCTACTGACATTTAATTGAAACAAATAAAGGATCATCAGAATTCCAGATTTTTCACCACCCTGTATTCTTTTCAATTAATTGTCAGTAGATAATACATCAAAAGGTAAGATAGGGACATGAAAACCGTTTTGGCCAAAAAATGAATAGTTTCGACACACAAAATTCCTGAAGAAGAAAAAAATCTCAATTTCTCACGCTCATAACTCTGTAATCATTTCAGCTAGACCCCAACTGTGATAGATCAATGAAATCAGCTCTACAGGGAGAATCTAAAAAGGCAATAAAATACAAGGTGTTCTATTGAAAAAATAATAAATGTTGCCCATAAGTATGTTTTGTGATCTTCAACTGTTTTTCTGTTAGAATATATCAAATCTACAGAAAAAAATATAGAAGAACGACCCTTGAAAATAAAATTTAACAATACATAAGGAAGTTAACTGGGGGTTCAAAATATACGTGAAGACCCTGTACCTATTACGTTAAATTTCCTATACAGACTTCTTACTCTTTTTTCTTAACTGAAAGATACTAACCAGAGTAACTGCGGCAGTTCGAGTTTGAATCTGAAAAACTCCTGTCGTTGAAGCACACGGTTTGATGTTACAGGGTGGTCCTAAATTGATGGATCCCTTGCAGGGAGAAATCGTCTCGTAGTCGGCCTTGGATCTGTAGTAGAGGAGAAGTCCACCTTCTAGTACGAACCAGTATTTTTTATAACAACTGATCATTTTCTAGAAAACAAATTTGAATCAGATATTGAATAGTCCTTGGATCCAAATTTTGCAAATTTGTATAGTTATGTGCATGAACAAGTCGTATAAGGTTTGTATGGTGTGAACCTGCCTATGATGTTCCATATTTCATTAAAAAGTACTACACGTTTGCCCGTTACCCAAACAACACCAGTACATCCTAGGGACTTCCCATGGACGTCCCTGATTTTCTACTAGGACATCCCAGGGATGTCTCAGAAAATTTTTCGAAAATTTATGTTACACTTTGAAATGGCGTTTCTCGAGTAATGGGCAAGAGAAGGGAGTGAATCCAAAAAAGGAATGTTGAAAAAAGATAAAGGCTAGAGTGTAATTTCAATTCTAACTTGAAAGTGTAACTATTAAACACGCTATCATTGCTGCACCCGGTACGTATTATAAAAAGAGGTTTTTATGCGAATACAGTTCACACACTGATGTTCAGAACAGAAAACGTCCACAAAATGTATGTTAAACTTATGGCAACTTTTCGGTACTTGGAGTAGTAGTTCACAGAACATATTATATATTTGAACGAAATATATTGATTTCTTTTCCAGATTATCAAGCAAACAGACAGAAAGCAAAGTGTTTGATACTTGCCACTAAGTCGGAGAAAACCATCCAGTCAAGACGAACCGAACAAAAGATCCGCAAAGAGAACTGACCAGAGTATACTTTCCAAAATTCAGATCCTCATATTCGTACGGAAGGCGATATATTGTTTTCCTTTCCAGATTCATCCTCAAGCAAACAGATAGACCGATATTCACCTTTATGTCTCTATGAAAACACGACAGGTGCCCTTACGAGGGGAGAGTATCAACTCGGCGTTTATAAACCCTCTCTGCAAAGGAGGTAGACGCATGGTGGGTTAGGTATATACAGTGTTTTTCATTGCAGAGAAAATCGTTGTTTATCTGCCTACCTCGTCTGCATTGAGAGAGTTGATGAATTGATGAATAATCATAAAAATATATCGCAATTTCAGTTACGAATGTTGAAAATAATATTCAGGCTTTATAAATTTCACATTGATTCTCAGTTTTAGATCCAAGCAGCACATTGTTTGGCATTCATGTTCCTTATTATAACCCACAAAATCGAAAATGTGGAAGATGTTTACTGGAAAAACCACTATTCGGAAAGAAAGCGAATATGGAGCAATCCAGATACGGTTGTTGGAAATATTATTCAGGTATGTTTCAGATTCAACATCAGTTTTAATCCTCATGGACTTTCTGATATGTGATTTTAGTTGCAGATCCGAAAGGTAGTGTTTGATACTTGTCAATATAAATTGAAGAAAACCATCCAGTCAAGACGGACCGAACAGAAGATCTGCACAGAGAACTGACCAGAGTATACTTTTCAAAATTCAGATCCTCATATTCGTACGGAAGGCGATATATTGTCTTCCTTTCCAGATTCATCCTCAAGCAAACCGATAGACAGATATCCACCTTTATGTCTCTATGAAAACACGACAGGTACCCTTACGAGGGGAGAGTATCAACTCGGCGTTTATAAACCCTCTCTGCAAAGGAGGTAGACGCATGGTGGGTTAGGTATATACAGTGTTTTTCATTGCAGAGAAAATCGTTGTTTATCTGCCTACCTCGTCTGCATTGAGATAGTTGATGAATTGATGAATAATCATAAAAATATATCGCAATTTCAGTTACGAATGTTGAATATAATATTCAGACTTTATGAATTTCACATTGATGCTTAGTTTTAGATCCGAGCAGCACATTGTTTGGCATTCATTTTTTTTATTATAACCCACAAAATTGAAAATGTGGAAGATGTTTACTGGAAAAACCACTATTCGGAAAGAAAGCGAATATGAAGCAATCCAGTTACGGTTGTTGGAAATATTATTCAGGTATGTTTCAGATTCAACATCAGTTTTAATTCTCATGGAGTTTCTGATATGTGATATTTAGTTGCAGATCCGGAAAGCAGTGTTTGATACTTGTCAATAAATTGATCATTCTAGAACACGTGATTTTGACATGGTTTCTTGAGGGGCACACAAACTATCTGTTATGTTACCTTCGATGAGCCTTGCCCAGGCCGTCCCTCTGCCACATCCACAATATAATAACAGTTTCACCAAACAAAATTATGAAATTCTCCCTGGTTCCAACTCGGATTCCAAGGAAAAAGATCCCACTGATTCTGGTTTTCTATGACAGATCTTGACAAAATACAATGTTTGCCCCTCAGCAACCTGTCAAGTGACGTAATTCTGGAATGATTAATTGAAGAAAACCATCCAGTCAAGACGGACCGAACAGAAAATCTGCACAGAGAACTGACCACAGTATACTTTTCAAAATTCAGATCCTCATATTCGTAGGGAAGGCGATATATTGATTTCCTTTCCACATTCATCCTCGAGCAAACAGATAGACAGATATTCACCTTTATGTCTCTATGAAAACACGACAAGTACCCTTACGAGGGGAGAGTATCAACTCGGCGTTTATAAACCCTCTGTGCAAAGGAGGTAAACGCATGGTGGGTTAGGTATATATTGTGTTTTTCATTGCAGAGTATTCGAACGGAAGGCAGACGCATGGTGGGTTAGGAATATATAGTGTTTTCCATCGCAGAGAATATTGTTGTTTATCTGCCTCGTCTTCATTGAGATAGTTGATGAATTGATGAATAATCACAAAAATATATACCGATTCAGTTACGAATGTTGAAAACAATATTCAATATTTAAAAAAAAAATGTGAGTGGATAGTTTTTTACTTAGATATTCAATATGGTCGTGCTATCTGAGTTTACTGTCGAGGGTGATCCCAAGGAGTTTAACATTGCCGTGAGAGACATCTTTGTTCATAGAAAAGACAATGTTTTGAGTTTTCCTTGGATTGTTGACGAGTCCATTCAGTTTAAGCCACTCGTCTACTACTTTGTTTTGTGTGGTGAGATCATTTTGTTGTAATGTGACAGTACTGTTGCTTGAGTGGAAGAAAGTAATGTCGTCCGCAATCGGAGTGCTGAAGGTGACAGAATATGTCATTGACATATATTTTGAATAGGAGGGGTCCAAGAACGGAGCCCTGAGGCACTCCTATCGTTGCTAGTTTATTTTCGGAAACTGTTCCATTAAAAAATACATATTGTTCTCTGTCCTTTATATGAGACTCAAAAAAGTTGTAGGTAGTACCCCTGATACTATAACATTCAAGCTTTTGTAGAAGTACTGAGTGGTTGACACAGTCGAAGGCCTTGCTTAGGTCACACAGAGTGGCAGATGTGTGTTCACCGTTTTCAAAGCCGTCGACTATGTCATCTAACAGCTCGTATAGTAGAGTGATTTTTCCGAAAGCCGTATTGATGCTGATGCATTAAAATATTCGTTTCAAAATAACTCATGTCTGCTTATTAATGATAATTTCAAAAAATTTTCCTATGATTGGAATAATAGCGATGGGTCCATGATTTTCTGGGCAGTCAATATTCCCTTTCTTGTATATTGGGATTAGCTTACTTTTTTTGAAGACATTAGGGTATTTTCCTTGCAAAGCGCAGGTTGAATAGTATAGACAGAGGTTTAGCGATAATTTCTCATGTGGATTTGATTATTTTGCTATTTAAGTCATGTAAATACATCAAAACAATTTGAATTTTTGAGGGAACTTATGGCATCCAGCACCTCACAGTCAGTGACAGGAAAGAGAAAGAATATCCTTAGGTTCGTATTATGAAAAGACAAATTGGATTGCAGACTATTTCGTGACAATAATAAATACCATGCTTCATCATAGGAACATTGATTATCAATAAGGCATTTGAACTTTATGGGAGGAGCTTATTTTTGTTAAGTGCCGCGCCTACAGGGAAAATTCTTCTTCACGGTGCCTCCGTGATTATTTGTGAAGAGTACTACATCCGATCTGTGCATCTTATCGACTAGTTTTTCAATTTTTGATTCCATAACGTAGGAAAAAAATCACAAAGTCGGTCAAAAACGCACTACTTTACAGGTGTTTATAAATTAATCTATGTGAAAAAATGAAAATCCATTCGATAAGAGGCATCAATTGCAACTTTGACTATCCAGGAAAAAAAATTTAGCCTCTAGGATGATCCATAACCATGGGGAAACATGGGAGCGGTACCTCTTTTATTGGCGGAGGCGCTGCGGAATATGCCCTCTTATTCATATCTCGAGTACGTTGATGCCTGTCATAATTGACAAACAAAATTCAAGAGCAGTCGAGTTGAATGCATTACAAAATATTATTGACAAGTTATATTTTTTTTTATAAGGAGTCGAAAAGTCCGTAACAAAGATAGAAAGGAATAAGTTATATCGAAATGTCATATTTTTCGAAGAAGTCGAATCATCATCAATGAAACAAGTGTGTCAAAATTCAGAAATATTCTTGCTTTTTCTGACAGGAAATTTGACCTTTTCCCGCCTTTTTCATGTGTGAAATATCGATTCCAATAATTATTTGAGAACTTTATAGAGCTCTTAGGATAAAACTGATCATATGATAGTTGGGCTAGTACTTCAAAAAAATTAAATATAATTTTTCTCTAAATTAGGCTCTACAAATTCTCACCATTTTTCCTTTTTTCTCCAAATATCCGGATATTTTACTGTTGTTTTTCTCCATTCTGATGTGAACCTGAAAAATAATTAATGAACAATATTGAAAATAAATCAATTATAATATTAAATACAGGGTACCTATGAAGTTAGGGATATTTTAAATTTAACGACCAGCAAGAAGTTCATAGAAAAGTGAATTTTCCAGTTGAAATCAAGAAAATTTTTTTTTGGGAAACTCACGAACCGCTCAAATTTCATTTTTATTTGTCATTAAAAATTGTTATTTATTTTACAAGGGAAAAAAGTAGTAGATTTTCCCGACGTGTAGCGGAGGGAGACAAAATACAGTGAGCTGAAACCTAATATTTTTCCCGTGTAGAATGCTCTATTTTTTTCTGTGACAGGAAAATGAACGAATCAATATTGAGATGATTTTACATTACATTATCAGAAAATTATCGACCTGAAATTTGAGGTTTTCAACACGAATGCAGGTGTAGCATTGCAAGCATTTTTTTACAGGAATCTTTATCATTCTTCCGAAGAAATGAAATATCTATCTGTCTTATTCTGTGATTTGATTTTCAGAAATTGCGAAATTTAGTGTTTGTTTAGTATTTTACGTAACTGCGAAAGCCGAATGGGAGATAAAAGGACTTGCAGTTCTTTCTCGGAGACGGGGTTATTGGTTTATTCTTCAGAAGTTTAGCAAAACGAAAGCCATCAACTGTGTGTATATATATACCTATATCTGGGAAAAAAGTACTCACCTTTTTCCCGTGGGAAAAAAGTAATTTATGAAAAGTGACATTTTATAACCTGTCAACAGAGAATACAGAGATGAAATTTCAAACTTTTTTCCCGTCACAGAAAAAAATATTGATAACAGCATACGGGAGAAAAAATGAAAGCTGACACGTTTGACCGTTTCTCCCAATAATTCCTTGAGTTTTCATCGAAAGTATCCACTATAATTTAGGAAAGCACTAGCTATATTATATTATTTCAGAATTGTATAGAATGTTCATGCTCCACTAAAAGTAGATAATTTTCTTACAAAATTGATGCTCAGTGCTTTCTTGTAACTCAAAATTCAATTACATACATTTCAGTTATTGCTTTTGAACTGGCGTGATGAAAACATTGAAGCGACCTAATTCGAATGATAGAAGCGATACATTCATGTAAGACAATTTGACAATTGACACCCACGTATAGTGTCATTATCTTAAATTGAGCAGTAATATTTTGGAACAATCTGACAATAATAAATATACTGCATACTTTCATAATATACCGGGTGTTTCTCAAAAGTGGCTCACCCCTATAACTTTTCAATATAACGTAATATCTTCTCAAAATTGAATCGTCGATTTTCCTGTCACAGAAAAAAAAACAGTGTACCTATTATTAGCTCTTGTTTTTTTGTACCCCTCCGCACCGCGTCTGGTGACAACACAACCTCGAGCTAAAATATAATACTTTCTTCCCTCGTTTAATAAAGAACTATTGTTTCACTAGGCAGAAAAGCACAAGATAGCCGAGGCTAGAGGACACCAGCCAAGGCATTGAATCTTACTTTTTTCTACAAATTCATTAAAATTTCACGCAAATTCCAAATAATATAATAATTTTGGGGCTGAAAGACTTCGGTCAATGGCCTTTTGGGGTATATCCCTAATAAAGATGTTCTCTCTCTCTCTCTCTCTCTCTCTCTCTCTCTCTCCATAATTTTGTGTTCACACAATGTCATTGTCAATTTCGGTTACCAGTTTGGTTCAACTTATTACTTGCCATACTTGGAACGTTTGCATAGCAACAAACCTTTTTTACATCTTATTGGTAGAATATATGAGCTCCTAACCCGAAGTTTGTGATGAGCTTATGCATTGATTGATTTTTTTTTGTAGATTCATGTGCTACGAGCTTTCAAGTAATGAAGATTAGGAAAAAGTAGATCTGAGTAGAAAAAAAAGAAATCATTATAATTGAAGTAGGTGAAAAACAAAAGATATATTTAATTTTGATTATGAAACTACGCTGAAAATCGCATAGAAAACATCACTGTTGTCTTGGATATAATCTAGGAGATGATTTTTGAATTTTCTATGATTCATAATTGTTAGTTTTTTTGGAACAGCTTTGTGAAATCTTGGACCGAGGAATGATTGGTATCGTTGGCATTGGGATTTTGATAATTTTTCAACCTTCATTTTTTCACTTGTCACGCCACGTGTTTTATATTTGTGGTTAATATACGTTCCTGAACTTCTGTTTTTATGAATGAACAATACACATTGTATAAGCATATAACAATCTCACTGTGAGGACATTAGACATCTTGTATAAGTTAGTTGTTTGGAAATATTTGTTTTGTTTGAATATTATTTTCAGGCTATAATTCTGAGTCACGTTGAGGAAATTTAGTGCATTATTGTATAATCCTCCCCATGACTATCAAGTGTCACTAAAAAGAAACTTTCGATGTCATTTGGAGAAAAAAGTATTGTTACATCATTTATAGATTGAAAATTGAGAATTGACGGTTTTTATGAATTTGACATTTCAATGATTGCATTTTTCATTACTAAATAATTTGAATTTCCCAATTTTCCAATGCTATGATAACTTGCTTCATGATATCTTCCATACGACTTCTCATTTAAAATCCATTATGTCGAATTTCTCTAATAAATGGTTAGTGGTTTCGTAATAAATAAAATCCTTATTTCCATAAATCTTACGCTGACCATATGACCATGTATTAATTCCATCATGTCCATAGCAGATCTATGAAATTAGATAAATGTGTATTATTCGATACAATATTATATCTTCATTTCCTGTATTTTTATTATGATCTACAATTGGTATAGGTTATGTACAGTAATTGAAGTGAAATCTGTAGAACTTTATTTCAGTGATAATAACCTAACTCCCAAATATGAAATGGAATATTAATTCAATTGATATAATCTGGAATTTTATTCGAATCAGTCGCATATTATTTGAAGTTAGTCTGGCATGGGATCCTCTTTCATCATAATTTTAAAAAATGAGCAACGAAAATTTTAAAAAGGAGAACAAATCAACAACAAGAAAGCAACAAATTTTGGCATCGTTTTTGAGTTTTCATGTCAGATAACGAAGTTCTCGTGAAATGGATCTATGGCATGGTCATCATGATTTTCGAATAAAAATTGAGCAACGAAAATTTTCAAAGTCGAAACAAATTAGAGAGAGCGATACATTCTGGCATGATCCTTTTTAATTTTTTTGTCAGGTATCGGAGTTCTCAGGAAATGAATCTAGTCTAGCATGGCAGTTTATTTAATCATTTTCAAGAAAAATTATCAACGAACATTTTAAAAAGGGGAAACAAATTAACAACAATAAAGCGACAAATTGTGGCATTATCGTTTTTGAGTTTACATGTCAGATAACGGAGATCTCGTGAGATGAATCTAGCATAGCAACTCGAAAGCAAAAAAAATTCTGTCATTATCGTTTTTGAGTGTTCATGTCAGATAACGGAGTTCTCATGAAATGAATCTAGCATAGCAAGTAATTCATCATGATTTCAAAAAAAAACGAGCAACGAGTATTCTTGAAGGGTAACTAATCAGCAACCTTAAAGCAATAGCTTCTGAGAAGATCGTTTAATTGATCTAGCATGGCAGCTCATTTCATCATCATTTCCGAAAAGAAAGAGCAACGAAAATTCTAATATTTTTCCCGTGTATAATACACTATTTTTTTCTGTGACAGAAGAAAGGACGAATCAATATTGAGAAGATATAACATTATTTTGAAATCTGAAAATTATCGACGTGAAATTTCAAGTTTTTAACAGTAGAAACTAGAAACACCTACGTTGTAGGCAACTTTATCATTCTTTTGAAGTAATCAAATATCTGATGTCACTTCTGTCAATCTGATTCTGTCATTTGATTTCAAAAAATTGCGAAGTTAGTGGTTGTTTAGTGATATACGTAACCGCGAAGTCGAATGGAAGATAAAAGGACTTGCAGTTCTTTCTCGGAGACGGTATTATTGACTCATTTTTCGTAACTATAGCCTATAGCACAACAAAAGCCATCAACAGTGTATATTATGTGATATATAAATATAAAGTGACATTTTATAACCTGCCAACAGAGATGAAATTTCAAACTTTTTTCCCGTCACAGAAAAATATCTATTTTGTTACTTACAGTCAGTTTCCTTATTTTGTTCACTATCAATGATAGTTGATGGTCGTCCCAATGAAGTATTAGTATTGGAGCATTCAGACATGCAGATTATATTATAATATAAGTTTGAATGAACCAGTAAAAAAATTAAAAGTGAAACTTCATCGAAACTATTTTTCCTTGGCAACTTGTTTCCAAAACTAACCGTATTCATGGCACTCTAGATATATATCCGGGAAAAAAGTATTCACTTTTTTCCCACGGGAAAACAGTGATTTATGAAAACTGACATTTCATAACCTGCCAACAGAGATGAAATGCCAAACTTTTTTCCCGTCACAGAAAAAAAGCATTTATTATAAATGTGACAACTCTACAGCTATGATTACATCGTTGAAAACACCAACGGTGATAGACCAATCAAAATTGAAAGACAGCTAGTGTTCAGTTGTCTCTGGCTTGTGATTGGTCAGATTATATGATGAGTAAAATAGTCGATAAAATTTGAAGGACTATCGCGGTTTACCTGATAATTTTGGTATTCGATTTTATTCCCAAATCAACAAATATGTTTCAACGACGAAATCATTAAAATTTTATTAGGTGTGTTTGATTGGCAAGATTCTTCCACCGGAAGGACAATTCTTGTTGATTTATTGAACGAAATTCTGAAACTGGTTCCAACTTTTCATTTCAACATCAAAATATGACTTGAAAATTGCCTGAAAGTGAACTCGCCTCAGGAAATATTTTGGAATTGTTCGCAATTCTACCCAGAATACTTTCAAACTCTACTGGACTCCTGAAATTACTTTTGAATGTTGATAAATCCATTTGCGGTATTACTTCTTCATAATAATTTTTGGTATGAAAATGCTAGAAA